CAGTTCGTAGAATTTCATAATATAGAGTCATAATCTACTCAGACTTGTGTTTTGAAAAACAGTGATTGAATAGATAATGCGAATAGTTCCTAAATATTGAAATAGGTCAAGTAACGTTAGGTTGGAGAACACCAAAGCTAAGTGAGCTTTATATAACTCAACAAAGTCATAAAGGAATTTGTAGGAGTTGACTATCTTTCCACAATTGACCTCTGATCTGACCTGTAAAAATTAAAATAACAATAACTAAAAAAATAAAATATGTATTATCAAAATGACGGTGATACTATTTTTATAAACTATGAAGATTTTAATCACAAAAAATGTTCAAAAAATTTTATATAAAAAAATGTATTGAAAATTAAAATTTGCTCGCATATATTTATAGTCGAATTACAAATAATTAAAATCCAAAAATTAATAATAAAAAAAATTAGAGAAATGAAAACATTATATACCTTTAAGCACAACTATAGGTTGTTGATATTAGGTTGTTCTATTAGGTTAGATATGTTGTTTATATTCTATATATTTCAAATACACCATACAATCCAAATGACTTATACTATCTAATGAATTCATATTATAATGTGAATCGCTTTCCTTTACACATATATACCTTTATAGAAATAAATAATAGCCTAAGTATCAGCTATTTGCACTTCAAAGAAATTGAAGAATTCATTGAAATGAAATAAAAATACCAGCTAACAGCACTCAAAGAAAAAATATAAATATATAAATATAAATAGGAATAGGAAAATAATTTCTGTAAGAAACGTCTTATTATAAGTAGTAAAATAGTCTTTTTCGGTCAAAATTGACTTCAAAAAATATATTTAATTATATTGTACTTTATGCTCTTAGCTTCATTTTTGACAAAAACTATGTTGCTTTTAAAAAAATAAACTTTATATTTTTTTTTGAAAAAAATATTCTTAAAGATAAATATCACTATCTTTGCTATAGCAAAAAACAAAAAAAAAACGAAAATAAAAACTTGTAATTAAACAAGTTACATATTCATTACAAGATATAAAACAAGCATAACAAAATAGCACTAAAAATCAAAATACCACACAAAATGATAATGATAAAAGCCAACAAAACGAACACTTATCAAGACAAGAGCACAAATATTATCACAGCAGAACAATGAAATTATCAGTGAAAATAAAATAATTAATTTTTTTTATATATAATTTTTCATTTGTATGTAACTGACACACTTCAGCGAAATAAAAGGTACTTCACAATCAAGACCAAAAAAAATGGTAATAAAATGTACGCAATTAAAAATGTCAAAAAGTTTGGTTATGTTGAAAATGTTAACAAATCTTTAGAGAAACATTAAAAAAATTGTAGCCACAACTAAAACAAATGAACTGTTTATTAAACTATCCTTAAAACAACAACACTAACCATAAGAAAAATAGGAAATACTAATATTGCTGGCAACATACAGACAGACTGACATAGACAGACTCACACGTACTATCAGATACTAACCTATGTGGTACGTAGCAGTAGATACACGCCTCAAATATTTAGAGACACGCAGAACGTTTAATTTAATTTCCCTGAAAGCTCACAAAAATGAAAATAAATGTGAACAAAAAAAAAATTAATGAAGGAATTCAAAATGTGCGCATAAAACCAAATTGAAGATTTCCACGAAAATCTGTTAAAAACCTATTATGTCCCATATAATAAAAAAGAAATTCGAATAAAAAAACTCGAAAGTGAATTTTTTACAGCTATGAAAATTATCATAAAAAAGAAAAATATTAATAATAGTAACTAAAAAGGGATTTCAATATAATGGAAGGCCTTTTGTATGAATTTTGTCAACATATAAAATGTTTAATTACAACTGGTCAGGAGACAGTGGACAGGAATGCGTTTACATTGGCAAGTCATGTAGAAATTACTAACAGGAATGTTTTTAACAGAGCCACAATAGTGACAGCGAATAGACATAAATATGTCAACGAAAGTATTTCATATGATATATATAGAATACTATTCAAGGCAAAGACATGTAAAATTATTACAATAATTAGGGGTTAGATAATTAATTTTAATAAATTTATTTTAAAATAAATGAAAAAGTGATTAAAATTTCGAATTTTTAAATTAAGCGGAGACGTATTTTATCAATCTTACTAATCTTACTAAAATCTCCATTATTTGGTGAAGATTTCAAACGTTTAATTAAATTATAAAATGCTATACAAGTTATGTTTTGTAACTGAATAGTTTTCTTTGGAAAGCAAGGACCTAGTATCTACGTTGCTGACAAAGCAGATGTAAAACATTTTCTTCTTCTTTTCTAGTATCTATGTTACTTATACTCTGAACAATAACAAAGCAATGACTTTCTGAATCTTCTATTAGCATTGCTTAACTAATAATTATCCGTCAACATACTACCTAGATACAATCCATATAATTTCATAATATACGAACTTTCGCAAAATTATAAATAAAATCAAAATTGGGCTCAAAGTGGATAGCCTTTTAGTCCTTTTAAACCAATTTTGAACAAATAAACATTAAGACTAATTATTTTATAAAGAACAGGAGAAATTAATCATCCCTATTATTTTTTATTAATAGAATATCTATAGTTACTCCTCTGTAAGTATTGGTTCTGAAATATACGCATTTATTTCATAAGTACATCATTCAGAATGGACTAACGCTTTCAGTCGATGTACTATATTATTTATTTAATTTATTCGTATTTATTTATTTTTTTCTCCTTACATAGCACTCAAATTAATTTTTCAATATTCTCTATCGATTTCTTAATAATATCTAATAACCTATATCTTTTTAATAATTTATGTCGTATATAAATACCTATATAACATAAATATATAAATAATATA